TTTGGAATGATGTAAAAACGAGCGTTCTTGCTCATTTTGCTTTCGAGAAACATGCAAAACGGGACGGAAAACATGAAATTTTGCAATAATCTTACGCCACCCTTGTACAAAACGACGTATTTTTTCTACATAACCCCCCTGAATTTAAAGCTGGATCCGCCCCTGGATTGAACACCCTTAGACTTCTTTCTTTGGGGACAAAATTAGTTCTGTATAAGATGTGGAAGGCCTCGTCATCTTCTAAGCAGCAACATTCATCATTCTCACCCTCGTGTTCTTCTTCCGGAGCAGTGGGAACCTTTCGCCAATTAAAATATTTGTGTACCATAAAAAGCGTTCATATTTTTCCCAGTTTTGGTCATACAGGATATATAATAGTTGACCTACGTATTTTTTCTTAGCAACACTAATTGGATGAATGAGGGGAATTTCGTTAAGAGGAGTCCTTAAATTGTTTACCCAATTCCAACATCTCTTGAGCAAGTGTTGCTTTGTAGGATTGGGCTCAAAACGAAAAAGAATGTCTGGCCCTTACAGAAACAATAGCACAACCCTTTTTAAAACTCCTTTCTAAATAAAAAATATTTCTTATTCTTCTTCTTTAGCTGCCGTCTTCGTTCCGAAGTTTGGCCTAGGCCTGGGTAACACTGTGTTAAGTTACGCTATTGAGTTGTGCGGCTCTCTGAATTAACGAGTTATAACTCATCAGTTCATGAGCTATAAGTGATCTATTAAAGCTGCGAGACCCGAGAGTGGTTTTTCACATCTAAAAAAAGAGATCACTAACATTTTTTCTGGGTAACGTTTTACTACTGTGTTCAAACAACTAAAAAAAAGTAATCTAGATTTTCCCAGCAACAGAACTGATTCCGAAGAAAGTCGACGAGTTTTCTTGTAAAATCGATCTCTTAAGTTTTTTGCATAAAAGATTCAGTTTGCCAGTATTTTAAACTAAAACGTTAGGAAAACGCGGTTTTTCTGTTTAGAGACGGTGTTGTTTAGAAATATTGATCTAAAAGTGAAGAAACCCCAGTTTCGAAGAGTTGTCCAAATAAATGATTACAAACTCGCGCTTTTTCCGTTCGGGCAAAATATTTTTTGGAAAAATACCCAGAAATAATTATTAGGGTTTTGCCCATAATTCGAAGCTGCAAAAAGTTTTTGAAAAATGTTTGCAAAGCGGTTAAGGAGGCGAGTGTTCCAATAAAATGTATCAATTGTTCACAGAAAATACCTGAATATTGTCAACTTTGTTAAAACTGGAATGAAAATTTAGAGGGACTAAAAATCTTCAGAGCGATGAGCGATGGGCGGCGACTTTCACAAATAATTTTTTGTAAACTTTTGCTATCTGATCGTTTTTAAGATAATGGTAATTACTTTCAGTGGAAAACTAAATTAATTATTTGGTTTTTGTGCCAAATTGGAAGCTGAAATGGATTTTCCAAAGTTCCCTGCAAACCGTTGAATGAGGCGAATTTTCTAGCAAATTAATTTTGTAATTTTTGGCTGAAATGACCCCATTATTGTCAGAAAAGGAGGAAATCATCAGAAAATAATGGTTTTTTGTGTCAATAGTTTTCGGGGAAAAACGGGAAAATTAATTTTCGTTTAATAATCCTCTATTATCTATATAATATATAAAAGAAAAGAAATAAATATAATATATAAAAGAACGCTAAAATCGGCGGTTTTGTTCGTTTTTTAATTAAACAAATAAACGGGTTTCAATTTATTTTGTCTTATTTTATAGGTATTTTTAATAATTGAAAAAAGTATTAAACTTTTTCCTTCTGAACAACTTCCAATAACCTTCATCTATTTAGTGCCGGAAACAGGCCTTTTAAAGTCTAATCTAACTGGACTATAGGTGGTGAGTCGAATAGAAGCTAAATTCAGAAAATTTGGCCATGTGAGAGTTTCGCGAAAATATGGACGTTCTGCTCGAGATGAAAATGAAACTCGGCGTTTTACTTTCTTGATATTCTTGCGGATACAAACACATGCGGAAATCTGTTGTTCACCGAATAGTTCGAAAGCACAGAAATAGTATCAACCCTACAAAGTTATTCCTGTGCGAGAGCTATTTGAAGATGATTTTGATAGACAAAATGAATTTTGGGAAAGCATGCAAAATATATGCAGTCTAGATAATAGTTAAAAACATATTTTTTCGATAACGCTACGTTCTATTGGAATGGTTATGTGAACCGACAAAATTGTCGATATTGATCAACAGTAAATCGGCACTGGATGCTGAAGGTTCACTCCCAGTTCATCCAAAAAATAAATGTGTGGTGTGGATAAACAGTCTCTAACTGGAAAATAATATCCGGAATTTCTCCGGAAGTTGAATGAATTTGGAATTTTTAGGCAAAATCGGGAAGAGCATTACCAAACCGTCTGGTCTAGCACATGATTCTTGTCATTTTTATATGATATACATCGCTTCCCACTTTCTGATTAATATTTAATCGGTTTATCAAACGAGCCGTGTTAATTGCAATTTATACGTAGCCACTATTCTTGAAACACCCCTGGATGACGTCAATAGCTCCTGCTTATGTGAGTGGGCCTGCTTCTGGATACTAACAGTTCACGTGTTTTCACAAACTTGAGTGCCCTGAGGAACACGTGTTATGCCCTCTATCACTGTCTAGAACGAATAGTTAGAAATGTAATTTTGTCGTGTTTTTATTGCCCTGTACGAATCGTTTATTTGCCTGTGAAGGTTTCAAACAGTCGCTATATTGCTGCGGCTTCTTCTAAAGAAACTTGTAACTTGGATATTAAATTACCCTTAATACTCAAAGTATTCACGTTCCACGAACAGAATGTAGTAGCGAGAATTTTCAAGTAATAAAATCCTAATTCTTAATCTTATAAGTTTTAGTTTATCACCTGCACAATTGCTCAGGAAATGATCTGTTTTTTTGCTTTAAATTAAAATGCATAGTGTAAATTAAAATTGTTCAAAATTGTCCATACTTTTACGTACATAAAGCTTTCAAAAGACGGCACGTGTATCAGCTTTTGTGGTCTTCTTTTACCTATGAAGTCAATTTAAAGATATCTATTTGCACTTCCGGCCTTCTCCTTCTGTTTAAGGTCGAAAAAAGTAAATGTGCTTTTAAAATGCAACTTAATGCAAAACTCCCCGGTAAAAATAGAAGATTTAAAACCCCCAGTGCCCAATTATTTCATTGAAATTTACTTCTACAGAAAACACTAAAATCCTCAATTCCAAGTTGCAAGCTGGGACAATCAGCTAAGAAAAGTGTTCATTTCTTTTAAATTGTTATTAAAACTGTTTAAAATCCAAAATAGCAGGTCCAAAACATTTTAGTTACTTTGGTCCAGTACAAACAATAAAATATGTTATAATTTGCCGCTAGTTTTTTGTGCTGGTAGGTAAACTGTGACGAAAAAAGTAGAACTTTTGATCAAATTCATTCATATTAAAATAACAGCTTTCTTAATTCAGATTTATCTATTAAAATTTAAAATACAAAATTAGCACTTGATTTTTATTGTTTTTCTTCATAAAAATTGTTTTGGCATTTTACGCAATTCGCTAAAGGAAAACTGATTGTGCCAAATCATATAACTCGACGTTCCTCACTGTTTGCTATTAAGAATAACAAATCAGCATTTCTTACGCCTGAAATGGTAGCCAAACGGTTACGCTGCAGACTAAAAAAATATGTATTAAAATCTGTTAATTGGTATAAAAATTAAAACACTTTAAACTTTACCCAAAAGTCTGGTGGAAACTGAAAGTATACGAAACCATTTTTTCAAAAATCGGTTTCTCTAAAACGCTTTATTGTTTCAGACTTATAAAGTTAAAAAAATGTTTTGATGCCAATATAAACGTTGGGTGAATTTAATCAACTAAAATAAAATGCGTTTGTATATTGGATCAACTACAATTTTTATTAATCTCCGTTAAAATTGAAAACTCACAATTCATGGTGTATCACATGCAGTAATGGTAATTTTCTTTCCAGATGAGAGTAAGACCGTATTTCTATTGTCACATCGCAACAGTGGAGTCCTCTCAGAAACCTTCTCGTGTACGGTAAGCAAAGAATCATCAATTTTAACTGTAGGCACAAATATTTGGGACAATCTGCGGTACTGGTTTCTACTGTGTCTTGACACTGTATTCGAACAAATCGACGAAAATTGGTGGTCCAAGCAAGGGGACCAAGTAAATTCCCGTTGTTTGTTGTAGGGTTTAAAGTTTCCCTCCGACATATCTGTAGAGTAGTGATTTAGATCGTAATTTGGCCGATTGCGCTGCCTATGGGTTGGACATTCTTCGGGACAACCGATATTTTGATCTGATTGAATGGTTTTATTATAATCTCTAGCCACTTTAATGTCGTATTTCCAAAATCTTTTTCTCGCTTGATCTCTTGTGGTGTTTGGAGCCACTTCCTTGATCTGCAAATAAAAAAATGGTTTTCTTGACTCGGTTATAAGAAACGACTAAAATACTGGCGTTCTTTTCTAAAGTTAAATATTTAAAATGGTTTAAATTTACTAGATTCTTTGTCAATGAAAACATAAAAATCCAATTGGAGCGCTTTATTTTCTACGGTTCAGTTTCAAACCAAACATTCATATAACATGATATTTATTCACTCTGTTAGTCTAAATAACATGGTGGCATTCTTATGAAATCAAACAAAGAATTGAAATGTTTCCTGTTAATTTTTTAAATAAATAAACACATTTAGTTATTGTAGGGAAACAATTCCTGAAATTGGAAGAAACATGTTCGGTATAATTTGTCAAAATTGCAAAATCGCCAATTTTTGCTACGTTTTTTCCTGTTTTATATTCTCTTCATCATTATTCAGTTTTAAATTACTTTAATAATTTTTTAACCAATATCTATGTGTATTTAATTCACATTTTTCTATTATCATGATAAGTTCTGAGGCTGAAATATTATTTAGTTTCACTTATGTAGATACGCATTATCAAAAACAAGATCATATCTTGAGATCGATTTTGATATTTTTTCTTCTCTGATTTAAATTTGGTAGAAAATTAACTGGATAATTTCGATTTTTAATTCTTAGGTCTAAAATCACAAAATTCTCGTTGTATCCGGAAATGGGCGTAATAAAATAGTTGATATCGAATTTCAGTCTTTTTAACAAAAGTGCTTTTTTGCGCTTATTTCGATTCGTTGAAATCCCATGGACTCCAGACAACTTCCACCATGAAACAGTCACGAAGAAAATAATTACGAAATTAATAATTGTAATAAGACATAATATAAATATAGGAAATAAAATACAGATGAAAATAAGCCCTTTATGTTTACAGTTCGATTGTTCAGTTCAGTTGAAAACAGAAGACGTTGCGAATGTTAGTGATATGTAGAACAAGATTTATCATATTATGTAGTAGTTCAAATATTTTTAAAGTACCTACCGTAAACTGATAAAAGATTAGAGAAACTTCGAAATGTTCACAGATCCAATCTAATAGAGGGTTAAGTGATTCATTTTTTCGAAAGCAACAAAGTTTGTGAATTGAGAAAAGTTGGTCTACTCTCAATTTTTTGCTAAATAGATGGGGGAAGAAAATATTTTATATTTGATTTTTTTGTAAAAATGTCGATTATCTCTTTATCGCTTGGCAATGAAGGAGTAAAGTGTGTTTCCCAAATAGTTATTTAGTTTTAGCACGTTTTGCGTTAGTGATTTATGTTTTTTTTTAGCTGGAATTAATCGCTTAAGAAAGTCACGCTTTAAAAATCAAATTTGTATGTGAATATACTCTACGCTAAAAGATAGCCACAACTAACAATATTTTTATTTTTTTAATTCTTGATTTTTGAATAAAGCTTATAACCATTACTTACCATAAAAACGAGAATTCCTGCAGCATATATGCAGACGATATTGACGAAAGTAAGACAGAGACTGATGGCACCCAATGTAGTCAGTTCTACGGCACTGTTTGTCGAAAAGTAATCAGTGTGTGTTAAAGAAGCATATCTGGTAGTTTCATCATTTTTCAAATAGTAGACAAATCCTAAAGACCAAAGCAATCCCTAAAGAGTAAAAATAAATCAATTAAAAAATGGAGAAGATAGATATAAATAAAGTAAAAGTCAATTGATACTAACACGGAATTTGTTAAAAATCTTGGTACTTAAGATAGAACGTTTTAATAAATAGCGATATTTTATTTAATTTAGATTTTAAAATGTACCTATCCTTGTTGATAATTTCTAATTGTTTTTTCTGCTATGTTAACAAAATATGTAAATGTGCCGAATTTGATATTGAAGCATCGACGTTTATTTTTGATTTAAACAAGGATGTTTGGACGAAGGACATGAATTTATATATTTTTAGAATCTTCGGCAAAGAGTTTATTTTAATTTACTAAATAGGCACGGAGTTTCGGTTATGCAAAACTCAAATGACAAAAACCAAATGGCGAGTTCTGGCCATAACGATAAAATACAGCGTTTGCCAATATTACCACGTGTTTTAATTTTAAATTTATTAAACAACGCAACGATTTAAGCAAATTTGTTCAGTTTTCAGTGGATCGTTGTTAATTTTTACGAGTTTTTTGCACTCCCAGTTAACTTACTAATGATACAAGAGAGCATCAACTATGATATAAAAATAAGCAAATTTTTTTTTCAAATTTCATTTGCATTCTTAATTAAAGCTATTAACAATTTACGTTTTTATTCCTTGCTGTTTTTTATTCTACAGCAACGCTTTAACAGCATATTAAGCTATTAAGCAGAGCACTTTTTTCTTATATAACTGACCTCCGCAAAATTTAAAATTTGTCTATACAATGTGTTCATGTTTTTTCTATCTAGAGGAATATAGTTTCCAGTTTTTGTTTATTTCTTTTCTAATATTTACAATTTTCTATTCATTAAATTCTTGAACTATTTTCCTTTGTTGAGCAAAACAAATTTGAACTGATAACCTTCTTATTCATTGGAAAAGCAAGTATTTGCCGATCCTGGCGCACATAAAAAATTGGTTCTTATGGGGTCAATCGGCAGTTAAAGTACTCGACACTCATTACTTATATCTTATAAATATGTTCCAGTAAAGGTACCGTAAATTTTACAAAAACATATCCGTTCAGGCAATTTAATTAAACACTTACCGCGTTAACAGCTGGTGGCATTAAAGACGTTGATATAGCGACACCAACTAAAGAAGCAATGTTATCGCTTAGAATGCCCAGTGCTACCGCAGCCCCTGACAGCAAAGCTATGATTGCTCCTACCCATAATGAGCGAGGTTCTCCCCTAAAATAGGATCCATATTTTATGAATAAAGTGATTAAATGATACCATTTTATTTTCCAAATTGCCGCCAAATTAAATTTATTTAAAAAGTGTATTTTTCATTTCAATCAATAATTCTTAATTTTTTCGAATAATACGTATTTTTTTACGAAGCTTATAATATTTATTGGTTACGTAAAACCACCTCGTCAAAAAATTGAATTTTAACGTTTTTCAAATTAAATTAAATTTCTACAAAAATGTTGTTCGATTCGGCCTTAGTTCCAAAATAAATTGAATTTTGTTAAACACACTCACAAACTCATGTTTAATTGTAACTCGTTACGAGAAATGGAAGTCGGTTTATTCCTGATTGGAGAATTCGTAAGATATTTTAGCTCTAATTAAATCAGAGTGCCATCACGAAGCTTCTCTGCCAAATTTCATAAAGTAAGATACATATTATATCGTTATCGTTATAAATATAGTAGATATATCAGAATCTAAGATTAAATTTCAACTCATTTAATGTTCAGTTTCATGAAAGTTTAAGAAGTTGATGAAAGGAGCCATGTAACCTTTACTGGCCCTGTGCAACTTTTGGATAAAGAGTTTTTTGTCAATCTTAGAATTATGTTGCACCACTGAGAGAAATGTTGAAAAATGTAAATGGCGAAAGTTAAACGCAAAAGGAAAACTAATGCACAATCGGTTAACGACGGATTAAGGCGGTTAAGATCTTGTTAATAATCTCTTAATTTTGATGTTCTCTCCCACATTGAAATTTTGCTTCTTATTCGTACCGAACCTTTCCAGATCTAAAGCGATTCAACTTGATAGTGAATATTAGATTTTCTTATTTAACTAAAGTGTGCATCTTTAAGACAAAGTCGGGTGAATCTATGTTGATATGAAAATATTCTGCAAAAAGGATCATTCTGTGGAATGTAGTAGTTCAGTTCTTTTTTTTTAACCTAAACCTGTTCAGATATAGTTTTGTTAAGGAATATTCAAGTAAATCTGCAGTTGCGTTAAATCATTATAAAGTCCAGCTTTTATACGCAAAACGAAAATAAATTATACAAATAAACAAAATGAAATAAATTACCAATAGAAATCCCATTCGATTATTAGACCTAAAAAGTAAGTAGTCAATAATTCATTTTAACTACTACCTGGAATACATTTCATATGTTGGCCAATCGCTCATCCCATACTTGTCGGTCGCAATGCAGATTACACACCCATAGCAAAAGCCCACGACCGTTGCGATGCCTAAGCCAATAAGCTCGTTTTGAACTCCAGTTTTTTTCAAATGTTTATCCTGAATTACCGAACCAAACGTCCCGGCCATTACTGGACCCTAAAAAACCGTGCACGTCATTAACGGCAAGCTCAAGACAAGTTCTACAAGTTGAAAGTTTTATTTCTTATGAAAAAGACTATCAACACAATCAGTCCTTCTGGTCTTGAAATATATTAATCTAGGCTTTAATTATTTTAACTGGTTAGTTCGATTGCGTTTGAAAATGTTCGAGTAGATAGGGTTGTTGGGAAATGAAAACGGAATGGTCTTTTCTCGGATATTTAAAAAATTATTTAGTTAAAACAAATTTATAATTCAACCTGTACAGCCTATATATACAAACAGCATACATTTTATGAAGTACTTACCATCATTGGAGATATCAACATGCTGGAAAGCATATAAATGCTGTTATTTTCCACCAAGCCTAATGCACATAATATACTGAAAAAGAAAATACATGTTTGGGTGTTAACGCCGGTTTTACAATGCCTTTAACTTTAATCATCAATTAGATTACCTAGCTACTTTTTGTTAATTAAAATATTTGCCTTAATCCCTACTCTTGAACAAGTATCCTTGTTTTGAAGCAATTTTTCAACTTTCATTGTCTGTAAATTGTCATTTGAATATCCTAAGAGTTTTCCGAAATATTAATAACTTCTCGGAATACTGTGTTTTAAGAAAATAGACCCAAAATCAGTGTAGTATAACGGGCGAGGAATACATCGACTTATCGGACACTCTGTATATAAAGTAAACCTTTTGTCACCCTAACAACTAAAAAAACATATTTTTAGATGCAGTATGTTAATTAAGTAACTTTTAATAGGGTAGCTCATATTCAAGATATGCAAGTAGAATTATCAGCTTATGTATATTGCTTATTCATTACSGTTTTCAAAATTTAGGTACCCGACTTGATTCCTGAAATATCYTGAAAAGACAAGAAATCAAMATTTTTTTAATTATCACTTATTACGTAAACTGCTTAACTTRGAAAAAAAGTTAAAACTGCCCTTAGTGCAACTTTTTGCGTTGAATCCAATAAACTAGCACTCGTTATCATAGTCAACTTGATTGGCGAGATAAAAAATTAACTTATTAACTTATGTTTTTTTTAAATGGTAATCATAGTTGGCTGTGGGCGTTTTAAAATCCTTATTTTTTTCTGAATTTAACGATATAATTGTTTGTATGTTTTTCTCCTTTTGATGC